CGCTTCGCCGTCTTCACCATTACGTCTTCCTTTCCAAGTTTCTTGCCCTTGAACCAAGCGGCGTCGGAGTTTTCAGATTCGAAATGACGGTATTCGATGTTTGAGAGTTCATCCAACAAGATAGCCAAACGCTCCATGTTGATGACACCCTCCTCGTTGATGTATCCTTTGCCCTTGGGCAGGACAGTCTTGTAGACGTTGAACATGAGGGCCAAGGCGCCCTCGTTGATATGCAAATGTGGAAGATTGGGAAGGAAATCGTTTCCAACAAAGAAAGCCATAAGAATGAAATCGTCAATAACACGCTCCATGTCGAACGGAAAGCTGAGAGCTCCGGGCTCTTCCAGTTCCTGGAACTCAAGCTCCAGGTATTCTCGCACAATGCTGAGATGCATGAGGTAGAAGTTCTGGTGTTCCAACTCCTTGGACTTGGTTTGGCTTTGGCGACCAAACGTCACCTCCTCACGCAGTAAACTGAAGTGGGGATCGTGGCTGAGCAGACCCAACATGATCAGGTCGGCATCGAGACCGTACAGGCAGTGGCGGCGGTTCGGGTCGTAGCCCGGCTGTGCCTTGGCCTGACGGATGTACTCCATGACCTTGTGCTCTCCCTCTCCGGGGACCTCGTGACCAGACAGTACGACTTCCACGCCCTGCCAATCTATGTCCTCGGAGACCTTCTTGTTGATGAAGTACTTGAGCTGCTGCGTGAGCTTCGCCATGAAGGCAGTGCCTGGCGTAATGCAGTTGCTGTCGAACGCTTCCTCCGTCGGCATCTCTACGCCTTCGCGGATAGCCTTCTCCCGAGCCTTTTCAGTATCGAGAGCGGTTCGGAAACGTCGTGCACGCTGCTGGTTCATCTTGGCGCGCGGGGCGACACCATCGATGGCCATGAAGAAGAGCTGCTTGGGCTTGATCTTGCCAAACAAGTGCTCGATGTAGTTGAAGATGGAGATGAACATCTGATCTTCGGACTTGCGCGCCGTGACGCTGTCGGAATCGTTGTGGGTGCAATTGTGAATAATACCGTTCATGTCAAGCTGTGACTGTTAGCTAGGCGCATCAATTGCGACACACGGGTACCTACGTAGAGACAGTCGAATTCGGGGATGCGGTTTTCGGCAATGAGCTGCGAAATACCGGGATACCTTTCGGACATCCATCGAAAGAACTTGGGAACACCCATGATTGCTACTGTCTAGGAATAGCTGAAGATGGATGGATATGGTGGTGAGGCGGCGATGCACCTTGTGTGTACAAGTGGCGGGGGTGAGAGTCGCAAAGAGGGCAACGGGGAGGAAGATGTGATAGGGAGAAGCGCGCAAAGGCGCTGTGAGTGGGAGGGCGAGAGAGAGTATGGGGTGGTGGTTCTCGACGCTGGGGTCTTCAAAGAGTCGGAGTGATGCTCATCGACGCAATGGATATGCTGGCGGCGACTGCCAAGCAGGTGGGGCGCTAAGGGATCGACATCGGGGTTGGTCCAAACGCGACTTTTGGGAGCGCGTCGTGCCTCTTCCACGCTTTACACACGCAGCATTCCATACAATACACTTTGCCCGTGACTTCGAGTACGATCGCAAACACATTATGGACGAGACTATGAGCGGTAAGTTCATTTCCTGTTGGAAAGTGTGGTCCGCGACAGCGTCATGCCGACCAACAGCAAGCTTCGCTTTACCATTCGCATCGATACAGTCGGCGCATGGCATCCAAGCTCGCTACCGGATTCCTACAGTCACCCACGTCTCTTAAATTTATTTAAAGTGCCCCAACGCCTGATACTAATTCCACCGACAGACGCTCTCGATTCCCGCGAGATGGACGACCAAGAACAGACCGAGCAGAAGATCATCAACGAGGAGTACAAGATGTGGAAGAAGAACAGTGTCTTCCTCTACGATATGCTGTACGGCCGCGCGCTCGAGTGGCCGACGCTCACAACACAATGGCTGCCGGACAAGAAGCCCGTCGAAGGCACCAACATGAGCCAGCACCGCGTCATCCTCGGCACCCATACGTCAAACCAAGCCCAGAACTACCTCCAGATCGCCCATTGCGAGATACCAGACGCCCGCGTTCCAGACCTTACCGAGCTCAACGAGGAGCGGGGAGAGATTGGCGGCCACGGCAATGCGAAGCGACCCTTTGACTTCAAGATTGTGCAGAAGATCAACCACCCCGGCGAGGTCAACAAGGCCCGCTACCAGCCTCAGAATCCCGATATCATAGCGTCGCTCTGTGTCGATGGCAAGGTGCTTATCTTCGACCGGACCAAGCATCCGTTGCAACCAAAGGACGACACCATCAAGTTCGAGGCGGAGCTTGTGGGTCACAGCAAAGAGGGCTTTGGCTTGAGCTGGAGTCCTTTGAAAGAAGGACATCTGGTGACTGGTAACGAAGATACTACAGTCAAGACATGGGACATCAAGAGTGGCTTCTCTAAGAACAGCAAGACCATCAGCCCGACGGCAACATACAACATCCACAGCGCAACCGTCAACGATGTCCAATACCACCCAATCCACAACCAGCTCATCGGTACCGCGTCAGACGATCTTACCTGGCAAGTCATCGATACTCGTCAGGAGGCATACAAGAAGGCGCTGTACAGGAAGGAAGCCCACGAAGACGCGGTCAACTGCATCTCGTTCCACCCCGAGTTTGACTCGATGCTTGCGACGGGTTCTGCCGACAAATCGGTGGGAATCTGGGATCTTCGCAACATCGACAAGAAGATACACAGCCTGCAGAGCCATCGCTCAGATGTCATCGGTCTGCAGTGGCACCCGCAAGACGCTGCTATCCTTGCCAGCTCTAGCTACGATCGCCGTGTCCTCCTCTGGGATTTCAGTAAGATAGGCTCTGAACAGACGGAGGATGAGCAAGAAGACGGGCCCCCTGAGCTGTAAGTAGTTCCGAACCTATGTCCGGCTCCTGTACTAACTTCTCACAGATTGTTCATGCACGGTGGATTCACCAACCGAATCTGCGACTTTGACTGGAACAAGAACGACCCTTGGCTTATGATGGGTGCTGCCGAGGACAACCAGCTGCAGATCTTCCGCCCTGCGCGCAAACTTGTCGAGCCGCTTAACAAGACTGTGAACCATGGAGAGGTCTCAGACTGAGCTCCCTCATCCTCTAGACCTGTTCCTTTCTAGGTGGCTAACCCAAGGGTGTTTGCAGGTTGCGGTAACGACTTCGGCACCCGAGGAGCCTTCTCCGCCCTTTGATTCTCAGGTGATTGAAAGCGCGGGAGAGGCTTCAGAAGAAGAGGTTTCTAGACGTTCTGAGAGTTCTGAGCTTTCTGATCCTCCTCCATGGAACACACTCGCAGACGAAACAGTTCTTGATACTCGCCTTCGTAGCGGCCGTGAACGTTGATCACAACGGAGTGGTGGTGGAGCAAAGTGAGAACATGAGATTGGTGTTGGGCGCAACAGCTTAGTGATATCCTTCTCGAATTCTTTTCAGAATACAGTTCCGTAGAATCATGAGTCAGAATGCGTCCGTTATAACATACCACTGTCTCATTGCATGAAGCTCTTGAGTAAGCAGTGCTCAATGCCAGCCATGGACTGATTGTGAGGCCTGTGCTAGCTAACCTCCGAGGTACGAACTATCTGGTCCCCGCAATCGTCATCCGATCTCTCACGCACCCGCCATGTGAAAGCAACATCACCAGCCAAGACCCCACAGCTGGGCTTGCAATCACAGGCATAAACACCATTTCGCCAATAGAAGACTAGCCCACGATGCTCCTCCTCGGTCTCACCGGCTCCATCGCGACGGGCAAGTCGACCGTGTCGTCTATCCTCTCCAAGGCGCCCTACTCGCTCCCCATCGTAGATGCCGATCTCATCGCGCGACAAGTCGTCGAGCCCGGCACACCAGGCTACGATGCCATCGTCGAACACTTTCTGCCTACTACGCCTGACCTCCTCATCCCCGATGCGACACCCAAAGGACGCCCGCTGAACCGGCCAGCACTGGGGCGGAGAGTCTTTGGCGGCGGAGAAGAGAAGGAGCGCGACAGGAAGAAGCTGAACAGCATCGTGCACCCTGCAGTGCGCAAGGAGATGTACAGGCAGATGGTGTGGGCCTATCTGCGCGGCAACTGGGCAGTCGTGCTAGACGTCCCTCTCCTCTTCGAAAGTGGCTGGGAACGCTACTGCGGCACAATCCTTGTTGTCGGCGTCTCGGACCCTGCGATACAAATAAAGCGCCTGCGAGATCGCGACTCTCACCTTACCGAAGAGGATGCGCGCAACCGCGTCATGAGTCAAGGCGACGTGCGCGAGAAGGCCGAGCGCTGTTTACGGAGGGGTCCGGGAAATGGCGTCGTAGTCTGGAATGACCACGACAGGAGTTACCTAGAGAAGGAGATACAGAGAGTCATGGAGGACGTCAGGAATAACAGCCCGCGATGGTGGAGTTTCCTCCTCTGGGCCTTCCCGCCGTTTGGAGCCATGGCTGGCGCGTTGAGCTGGTACAGGATGCGCAACGTGCAGCTACAGTGGGAACAGGAGAAAAAGCGGGAGAAGGCGAAGCTATAGGAGGTGGGTTGATGCGTTGACTCAGACGCCTTTGCTTCGAGGGTAACAGAGGGTCGGTGCTGGTGCGTGTTGGTGTTTGTTGGATGTGCGCATAGGTATTCTAGCAATTGGCAGCACGGGCGCTGTGTCACGGTAAATGTTTTCAAGTCTCTCAATGTGTCTCTGTGTCTGTCGTGTCTTGCAAACATGTCTCTTCGCTCTGCATATCGTACTTTCGTTGTCGTTGTGTGTCTATCATGCAGCAGGCAAAAGGCTGTTCACCTTCACCTCTGCTCCACTATTTTGGATATGCCGTCATCCAAGTCCTCACCACACCGACGCTTCTTCGTTCGCCCCGCTGCACGCAAATCTGCTAATCGAAATAACTCTGTCTGCAAAACATACATTTGCGAGCGTCTATCCCACGCTCCTTCCGAACTCCGACCATACGACTACAATGCAGACATGAGTTCCATAACCCCCCAATCTTTCGTCGATGACGGCGGCTCTTTCACGAAGCGCACGCCTCGCGGGCTTGACCACGGCCATGTCGCGAAGTGGGTTACCAGCAACAGCTCAGATACCTCAGCCTATACCGGCAGTTTCATCGATGACGGTGCGGACATGCACCTTCCACCGGGAGCAGCCCCAGGCTTTGGCCCAATCGATACACGCTTCTACAACCAGAGAAAACGACCACAGCCCAAGGATGGTGCAGGTACAATGTGGAACGAAGACATGCAAAAAGCGATTAGTGGAGATATACAACGGAATTTGGAGAAGATCCGAGGCCTAGGTGGACTAGAAGTGAAGAAGTCAGATCGCAATCAGGGTACGAACGAGACAGCTGGCGGACGAGGAGAGAAGAAAAAGGATACAGTAACGATTCCTATGCCACCTCAATGGGGGACGTTCGTCATCAAAGCAGAGGATGGCCGCGTTATCATCGTGGACAAAGACGGAGAGTTCGACTCTGGACCACAAAAGGCTGTCAGTGAGCAACAGCGACCATGGGTCAAAGCAGCGTCAACGATCGAACCAGCCTCCCCTGCTCGCCCTTCATTCCCCCCATCACCACCGAAACACTGCAACTCTACCCGTCCGTCGAAGGAAGCTTCTGGCGACAGCCGGAAGCAGAAGACTAAAAGTGAAAAGAAGGATAAGAATAAGAAGTCTCGCCAGTCACACCACTCACCACCCAAAGCCCTCACGCCTATCCCTGAGTCGGACTACGAAGATGGCTACTTGCCTTATGACGGCGAAGATATAGGGTCGCCAACAGGCTTCATGATGACGGGTGGAGCCAGTGGTTGGCCTTCTAGCAAACCTACATCTGTTGCGTCTCCAGCTATATCTGTGAGCGATGGCTACGAATACATCGCTCCAGGCTCACCGCTCAAGACGATCAGTGAGGGATTCAGATACGTCACACCAGCCTCAAGGGGCTACAAACAAGTTGTCCCAAAGTCGGACTCATGGGTCGAAGAGAAGAGATCATCACCTGTGCGTTCACTACCTGGAGGATGGCCGTCTCCCGAGCTGTCTCCAGTCAAGGAGAACCGTGAGGCAGGTCCAGAAAGGTCTTGGGACGGTGGGCAGTTTGAGGGTGCGTGGAAAGCGGCCAGTCCAAGTCATTCACACAAGAGCGACAGATCGCACCGTATGAGCAGGAGCGGCAATGCACGAACCTCCAAGAAAGACTTTGACAATGGCTCGGTAAAGAGCCATTCGACCTACAGAGCGCCTACAGTTGAAGATGCGCCCAGTGACTCTTCGAGAGAGAAAGAAGATCACATTGCAACTGGATGGGGAGGCAGTGTGAAGAGCGACGTTTCTCATGACTGGGATGCCAACAAGAAGAACAGCGAAGAGAACGACAAGACAGCTGGATGGGCTTCACCTCTAAACAATCCTCACCCATATACATGGGGAAGCACCAAATCTCCCAGCGAGAAAAGCTGGAGCAATAGGCCTAAAGCCGCCGACAATCCTGCCTGGACTGGCATTGAACCCTTTACTTCCCAGAGCGTAGTCAACAGCCCTACGACTTCACGTGTCGGCGGTTTAACGCGTCCTTCAAGCAATACTGCATGGGATGGCTTCGAAATAAGTAAAGGGACTAGTGATGCCGGTGTGGTCGGCACAGATAGTGAGCGCGGATCTCTAGGGAATCAAAGTCGAGTCTCTAGTCAGCCGCCTACACACCGGTCTCATCGTAGTCACGACACCCGTACTAGTCACAGGAGTAACAGACACGGAAAAACTACTGGATGGGAGGACGCCCAAGCAGGCTGGGCTGGTGGCAGTCAGACTAGCTATAAGAGCCAGAACTCCCATCAGCCTGATGCTGCGACCGGGTGGCCTAGTAGTCGTGCCGCCAGTCAAACGAGCTGGGATGGCGAAAAAGCTCATGTCAACTATGGCGATGACTGGGATGACGGAGATAAGGGCAAGGGAAATTTTGCGAATGGCTTCGATGAGAACAATGCGACATACTTAAATGACAATTGGGGTGGTATTCCAGTCCGAGTGGGGAGTCGCGCGGGGAGCAGGGCTTCAAGGCAAAGTGGTGACGGCTGGGAGTAAGCAGAAGACGCGACCACGCGACGTGACTGCAAGGGAAAAAGCAAACGGAGACATTGCAATGGAAAGAAACTCTGAATCAACTGCTCGAGCATACACAACCATCGGAAACACTAGCTGCAAGTTTGAAAATGCTTCACGGGATTGCCAATCTGCTATAACTGAAGGGATGCATGGCAATTAATATGCGCATCGGCAGTCAGCATGGGAAGCCAACAGAAAGTCAGCTCGACATGCATGATCCAGCAAATTCGCGTGCATCCTGCCTCATCGCGTCGAGCAGAGGGAACCCCGCTGCATATAGGTGCGCGTCGAAACACCAACGCGATGCTCGAAGACCAGCAGATGGTCCGGACTTCACCAGGTCGCCAACCACCTATGACACCATGACATCTCTGTGACAAGTGACAAACGCAGACCAACGTACAAGAAGCCTCGGACAGCGTCTCTACTGCACGCACTATGCCTCAGCACGCTGCAAGGCCCGGGATGAACGCGCAAAATCGAACCAGCGTTCACGTCCATATCGCGAGCGCGCAAAGTCGCGTTTTGGTGGCGCAAGTGACACTGCAGGTGGATCCGGAGCTTCCTGGCCAATGGACTGCGTTACATGCCGGGGCTTGGAGGGTCAAAACCAGTTTTGCATGATAGTTTCGGGACATGATCCTGGTCTGAGTGGAGAAGACGGACGCGATTGTGGGAGGCGGCCCCTAAGTGCGTGATGGACACGCTAAGTACGAGGGAGACTGGGGACGCGTTGAGTGCGCCCATGTAATGGCTTCATGACCCAGTCTCGCATCCTTCTTTCTCCCATCTCTTCTCTTCAGACTTGATCGTGTCCAAGTTCTCTGTCGTTGACTCAGCTCCCTCTATTCACTGTTAGAGTCGTAGTCGAGACATTTGTTGTTGTTCTTGTTTTCGGTCTGCCGCCTTGGACCTAGTCGCGCGCTCCAGCTCAAACGAGATACGATAACCACCCCACCTTTCGCACCTTCCGTCCCAACGACAATCACCTACAACACCACTACCCCGATATCTCAATCGCGTCAATTGATCTTTCGGGCCGATATACCTTCTTCACATCACTTCAATCGCTATCACAACATTACCGACAGTCTCTACCATGGCCACCTCTACGCGCCAGCCGTTTGCCGAGCTTGGCTCGTCACGTCTCCAGGTACTCCAGAGCGCGAAGAACAGGCAAAATGGTAAATAGCTTCACTCCACGTGCCGTTGCATTCACTAAACGCGTATGCGACAGCTCTTACGCCAAACTTCGCGTCTCAGCAGGGCCTGAAGTCAATTCCTACGCCGTCGACGGGTAAGCGCCAGCGCGCACCCGAGATCTTCGAAGATGCCGATTCCGAGAACATGGACCCGTCCATCTTCAACAGCCCAACCAAGAAGTCCAAGACAGCCAGCCACAGCGATGCAGGATACATCAAGCCGGCCAACTTCTCCATCTTCACTTCGGCGGCCAAGCCCAGTGCCAGCAGCCTCAATGCGACGCCTTCCGTCCCGTCTGTGCGCAAAGCACTTTCGTCACCCAACACTGCCAAGTCAACACCCATCTCCACCAGCCGCGGCTCACCTAAGAACAAGCGTCTCCATGCTGTTTCAAAGCGTCGCGCATCTAGCTCGCCCTTCCGACGCGTCGACCCCCCATCCTTCACACAGAGCAGCCCCAGCCTACCCTTCTCCATCGACGCGGCACTCAGCGGCTCCATCTCGACTTACACACCCAAGGCCCCCACCGTAGCCGCCACGCCTGTTTCAGCACCCGCCCCGCAGACCCCAATCGTCGATGACAGCATGCCCAAGAGCTGGTTCTTCGAGATCCACGAGGACACACCCGAGCAGGAAGCCGCAAACCTTATGGAGCACTCCGCATCTGTTCTCGACATTTCATCCGACGATGACGCAAAGACCAAGGCCAGCAACGAGGACCGCGGCAAGGAGAACGTCCCACCACCAGACTTCCTCGCTCAGCAAACTCGCAAGCGCAACCACGCTTCGTCTTTTGACGACGGCTACGAGACTGATATCCTAGCCGATATGCCTGTCAAGCAACCTCGTCTTCGCAAGTTTGTCCAAGATGCCATGGATGAGGACCGGAGGCCACTGGGTGACCTTGCACCAAGTGAATTCTATGCCGAAGGCTGTGACGCTACCTCGTACGTCACTGTCGATGCTGGAATCGAGAAGCCCTCGCGTCTGTCAAACGTATTCGATGCTAGCTGTGTGACGCCGGAGAAGAAGAAGAGTGTCGTTGTTGAAGACGTACCTGCTGCTGTTGAGGAAGAGACAACATTAGCCGAAGAGGTCGCTGCTGCTCCTGCTGCTGTCGAAGTACCCGCTGTCGAGACTGTCGTCGAGACTACATCACAGACTGAGGTACCTGCCGCCGCATCATGAGCCACGCTTACTTGTGCTGCTTCGTTCCTCTTTTTCTCCACAAATTCTTGGATTACCCAATTGGCGTTTGGATCTCTTCAAGGCGTTGTTGCTAGCCTGTCACGATGTCCACTGTTTATGGCCATGTCCACGCTTAGTTACGTATATACGATCGATATGGGGCGTTTTCGGTTGGCTGGTTGTTGTCTTATGATACCTTTACTGCAAGCGCAGGTCTGTCTTGCTTGATTAATACGATTACTTTCACTTTGAAAAACTTATTCCGCTATGACATTGAACTCTGGTGACGGGGATGACTGAAAAGGTTTTCGACAGAAACAAGACAGATGCATGACTACTACTACTACATAAGAAAGTGGAGAGGTGCTAGGCCGTACAAGGTCGTGTATGTGTTATCAGAACGCTCGTCGTAAATCTATCATACGTATCCATAACCCAAATCGCTACTTCGAAACGCGGCGACCATTATCATCCCCATGACACTAAGAGCGTAGCATAGTAGGATGAGGAGAAGGCGAGCGCCCTCTCAGCATGGGCGTACTAGGCTTAAGCATGGGGCTCGCCGTAGCGCTCAGAGCGTCCAGACTGAGCTTGCTGATAGCGTCGAGATTGCCCTGGACGTCATCGTCTGTGAGGTCGAGCATCAGACGAAGCTCATTCGCCTTCAACGGCGCTCCCAGCCCCACCATCAACTGTTCCTTGTCCACCGAGCCGGGCACGTCGTAGTAGTACCACCTGTAGTCAATATCTTCCAGCCGATGTGGCTCCGCAGGCGTCGTGAGCCGCGCAGCAACGCGGCGTACGTCCATGCCGAACACACCAGATATAGATGGCTCGGTGCCGATTCCGCCCAAGCTGGCTTCCGCTCTGCCACGGAGGGGTCCGGGGACCTTGGCGTCCTTCTCGATGGGCGTCTCGTTGATGCGGTTCGAGGCGCCTGCGTCGCGCAATTTGGCGCGCTTGAAGGTTGCGTTCTTGAGCTCGGTCAGGCCGAGGACGATGTAGAGTGGCTTGCCCGCTTTGATCTGCTCGGCCATCCAGATGCGTGCCTCGGGGTCGTTGCAGACGGCCTGGAAAGCTCTTGACGATGATTGCGTAGTCCGTTGTATCATCTGCTCGGCCTTGACAGTGAGCAGGTTCGGCTGCCTGTATATCTTTCCCAGATCGAACCTCGCGCCATAGTTGGTCGTGAATCGGCCTTCGGTGTCGACTGAGTAGAGGTCTTTGTAGCGGAGCTGGATGTGGAAGTCGTTCAGATCGTCGACCTCTGCGTGCGCTTTATCGGGGTAGAAGGAGTCGCGTTCGGGGTGTAGGGGCTCTGTAACCAGTTGGCCGACTACGAGGGCGTCGGCGGGGAGGGGCTTCGGGAGGAGTGCATTCTGCACCATTGCTGCGGACCTGCGGGTTGCGGAGAGGTAAGTGTGGGAATGTGTCTGGAACGATGCAGACGAATGTTACGTGTTAGCTATCGACCTTCAGGGGCAATGGCGAAGCATGAGCAAAAGTATGGTGAACCCCATGGCTGCGAATCGCTGCGAATCAGAGGGCTGCATCAGACCCGGTGGCAGGTGCTTGGCTAATCTAGCTAGAAGGTGCTACAAGACTACACGTTCGCGGTTTCGACGTTGATATTGGATCAAGCACCGCTCGCCGAGCGAGATACGATATCGTCGGTTTCTATTGAGATGAAATGGGAGGTTCCAAGTTTGGCCGACGAGGTGTGTCACGTGCGTCTGCGGCATCGGAGAAATGAAATTCCCATCAGCCATGCGCGGGACCGATGGAGCATGGCAAACTAAGTCAGCGTGCGGCGGATACCGGCAACGTCATGTATATTGACAATAAAGCCCCATTGATTCTGCGTGTTGAGATCGTGGATGGTTGGGAGACGGCTTCCGCATGCGTGGAGCTTCCATGGATGCGCGGTTTTCCTTCGGCCGTGCAACATCACTCACGCTCTAGGCCGGCAGTTCCAAGGTTTCCACGACCGATCGGATCCGCTTGCTACATGTCGATGTACGCAGAGATTCTCGGAGCTACCACCATGTTCGCCTGCAGCTACATGCAGGGTCCGTCAGAGTCTTCCAACAGGATCGAGCAGACGACCGATGCCTCGATGAAGAAGAAAGAGCTGAGTAACGATTACTGTATCTGCCAGGCTCCCAGTTAGCAATGCACAGCGCCTTGCTTACTAGTAGCCAAGGCTGAGCACAGTAGCACATATGGGTGTGCATTACATTCAACATGGCATAAGGTGCTCGAGTGGCAGCGTGGCGGCTTCGTACTGCACGAGCAGCTTAGACGCGCGGGTTGACACGGCCAAATGTCTTTGTCAAAGCATGAATCGCTGACAGCGCATGTCGTGTATCAATCGTGGGGTTCCACTTTGGGAATATGCAACAGCTCGGCGGCACCTAGGCAAGGCCACGAGACAAGCGTACCTAAAGTTATTAGGTTGTAGCATTGGAAAAGTCAGCCACGGGATCGGAGAAATCGATGATAACGCGTGGGAGAAAAAGCAATGCGATGGGTTCACGCGCCTGGAAGGCACGAAGAGGCGGCCCAAGCTCCCGTAGAGCAAGCTAACAGAGGGGCAGGAACGTCACAGCAACCCACCCACCCCCGTCGGTCGCTAGGATCTCAGCGGAATAGCGAAGCCAGACTGTCCACATCTTGGTGCCATTGGCGAATCACGCTCGGTGGCATGACGTCCAGAAGCTGTTAGGACGAGCCACACGTCACTGTCGACCCAGCGCCCCTCACTAACCGCTAATGCGTGAAGCTGTCCATCAAGTCTTTTCAGCCGCAGAGGAGTACTTGAACCCCTCCGTGCCCCTCCAGATCAGCCTCCATCTTCTTATTCCATCACACTCAAACCCAATCTCTCTTCTATATACCCCAAAACCTTTCTACTCTATTCACAAACCTTCACAACCGCCACAATGATCAACGTTCCCCAAGCAACCGAGCTCAAGGACCTCTTTAGCCTCAAGGGCAAGGTCGTCATCGTCACTGGTGCCTCCGGCCCTACCGGTATTGGCACAGAGGCTGCCCGAGGATGCGCTGAGTACGGCGCCGACCTCGCCATCACCTACAACTCTCGCGCTGAGGGCGCCGAGAAGAACGCAAAGGAGATGAGCGAGAAGTACGGCGTCAAGGTCAAGGCCTACAAGTGCCAGGTCAACGACTACTCCGCCTGCGAGAAGCTCGTCAACGACGTCATCAAGGACTTCGGCAAGGTCGATGTCTTCATCGCCAACGCCGGAAAGACTGCCGACAACGGTATCCTCGACGCTACCGTTGAGCAGTGGAAGGAGGTCATCGAGACCGACCTGACTGGTACCTTCAACTGCGCCCGTGCCGTCGGTCTCCACTTCCGCGAGCGCAAGACCGGCTCCCTCGTCATCACCTCCTCCATGTCCGGCCACATTGCCAACTTCCCCCAGGAGCAGGCCTCCTACAACGTCGCCAAGGCTGGCTGCATTCACCTCGCCAAGTCTCTTGCCAACGAGTGGAGGGACTTTGCCCGTGTCAACTCCATCTCCCCCGGATACATTGACACTGGTCTCTCCGACTTCGTTCCCCAGGACATCCAGAAGCTGTGGCACTCCATGATCCCCATGGGCCGTGACGCCAAGGCCACCGAGCTTAAGGGTGCCTACGTCTACTTCGCCTCTGACGCCTCATCCTACTGCACTGTAAGTTTATACGTCCAGATCATACCGTTCAAGTCACTAACAATCTCAGGGTTCCGATCTCCTCATCGACGGTGGCTACTGCGTCAGGTAAACGTATCGTCTTGACGACTTGATACGAGTGGAGGAATATAATAATGAACGACATTATGCCGGAAGACTTGAGTCCGTGTAAATAGCATCGAGACAGTAATAAAGCTTCGCAGGTTTCACTTCAAAGCCATCCATCATGTTGTCGTGATTTCGTTTCGTTCGTCCTTTTTGGTCGCTCAGAGAATCTTCTGTCTGGTCACGTAGAAGATCTCCAAAATTTACACCTTATGCTCTAACCGTAGTAACTGGTGAAAAGATTTTATGCTCGAGCGCGAAGCCCATCAGACATTGGTAGGGCGAACGCGTTGGGGACGCGCGAATCGGCTACGCACCCCCGCAGTTTAGCACGCGAGTCAGCATGATCGTCGTCTCTCAGCCGCGGCATCTCAACTCCACTACCAAATGGTCCAATACCTAGGTATGCTCTTCAGACCCACGGAAATGTCTCACAACACCACCAAGCAGACAAAATGGCGAACCCTAAGCCGCGCGCCGATACGCCTCTTCCCTCCGTAATGCAGCCTCAGAAGAAGGAAACCTTTGGCAACCTCGCCCCATGGAGCGAACCGTCGTGGTACTCCGCCCTCGCCTCCCCCTACTACAACGAGTCGCACAAGAAACTGCGCAATGCGCTTCGCACATACATCGACACAAACATAAAGCCGTACATGCTAGAATGGGAGGAAGCTGGCGAGGCTCCAGCCCAGGAACGGCACAAATGGGCGCAGACTGGTTACGCATTCGCAGACGTGCCAGAACCATATCGCCCACGCGATGTTCCGGGGCCCGCGGGCATACCTGTCGGCGACTTGGACTTGTTTCATTTGTTGATTATGACAGATGAGAATAGTAGGATAGAGGGTGGTGTAGGCGTTGCTCTGGGCGGTGGCAGCGTGATTGGTGTTCCGCCGATTGTACATCATGGAACCGAGGAGCAGAAGAAGAAGTGGTTGCCAGGTTTGTTTACTTGGGAGACTAGTTTCTGTCTAGGCATTACTGAGCCGGGTGGTGGTGTAAGTACGCCAATCTCTCAACACGTCTACAATTGTCGTTGAATCGAATACTAACCAGAGTGTGCAGTCCGACGTCGCGAACCTCAAGACTACCGCAACCAAGACCGAAGACGGAAAATACTTCATTGTGAACGGTTACAAGAAATGGATTACTGGCATGCCATGGGCCACACACATGACGACTGCCGTTCGCACCGGA